TCCAATGATCCTCCATCCTGAGTGGAGACATCTTAGGACTGGAATTGTGTTACTGGCTGGATCACCAGGTAAAAATAAAGTCTAACAAAAGGGAACTAATGCATTCACCACATTTAAGGATTAATAAACTGTGATATATTCTGTTTTTGGGTTTAGTACCGCTTTAAATCAAGGACAGGTAGGAATAGAGGTCTCAGCATGGTCAGAACAAGATTTGACATATGTGTTGGGATATACGTTGCTAGAGAAGAACAGCAGTGCAGGAAATAAACTTGGAGGCATCAGTCGCAAAAACAAACTCTTTTCTATAATCAAGGCACTGGGTATTTTCCAAGAACTATCTTCAACTCCTGGAATTTCCTGTCAACGTTCAGGGCCCCATTTGAGCACAAATAGTTCTTCCATTTGAATACAAAGAATCTGAATATTTTCTAATCATTATTAATTATTATTATATTATTAATAATAATATTCTTAGCTCTATTTATGGCCCGTTTTAGAGATTTCCTCTCACATTTTGAAGTAGTTAATATTTAACTATCTGCATCTAGATCATTCCTTCAAGCTCTTGTAAATTCTCCCACTAGTACTGCTTTTATGGATGACAACTAGTAGCCAACAATGTCAAATTTCCACTGAGCTATATACATAAAGTAGATTAATATCTCAGGATCAGCTCAAAAAATCAGATCCAAGAAATTCATACTTATGGCATTCCATTCACTAGTGCAGGATAGGTTTACCTGGTTATCATTTATATAACTCATCCTCTCTCTGCACTGCTGTGGGTTTCCTAAACATACTCCAACCACTTCCTGTCCGCCCTATAGCAGTAATACTGCTACAGGACGGCATGGGTGCACAAAGTTATATATATATAACTCCTTCCTGCCCAGTGCCATTAGTACAGTGTCAGTGCTTTTTATTAGCACTGATCACTGTATTGGTGTCACTGGGGATATCAGTGACACCAATTCAGTTCCCCCCAATGTCAGAATGCCCACCACAGTCCCGCTATAAGTCGATGATGGCTGCCATGATTAGTAACATTTTTAAAAAAAAGTCTCAATATATATACTGCCATTTGTAAACACTATAACTTTCACGTAAACCAATTAATTTACACGTATTGGGATAATTTTTAGTAAAGATGTGTAGCAGAATACATTTTAGCCTAAATGTATGACGAAATTTGATTTTTAATTTTTTTTTACTGGACATGTTTAATAGCAAAAAGTCAAACATTTAGTTTTTTTCTCAAAATTGTCGGGACTTTTTTTATTTCATAGTGCAAAAAATAAAAAACACACAGGCAATCAAATACCACAATAAGTAACGCAGCGCCTTAACGCAAAAAATGGCCTGGTCAGGAAGGGGGGTAAATCCTCTGGAGGTCATGTGGTTAAAGTGGTTGTAAAGGCTCAAGGTTTTTTTACCTTGATGCATTCTATACATTGGGGGTCCCCCAGCCTCCTCCTCGCATTCTCAGTGCACAGCAGAGAGCAGAAGGCAGTACAACACAGGACGTAGGGCAGGAGGAGGAGCTGGCCAAAAGAACTTTTCATATTAACAAGCTGGTAATTGGTTTCTAGAACCGACCTAGCAACCAATCACCTGTGCCCTCTGTCCTGAGCTCTGCTGTCTTCCATTAACCACTGTGCACTGAGAATGTTAGCAGCAGCAGAAGAGGCTGGGGGAAAGGCAGGCAGAAGACATTGCTGGAGGGAAGGGGGCCACTGGTATGGGGGGGCAGTGGATACTACTGTGGGGGGGAGGTGATGTGCACAGGACACTACTATGGGCAGGGCCACCCCCCTAGCAGTGTCCTTTACTGCCCTTCATATACCTCCCCCCCCACATTAGTGTGCTCTGCCTCCCCTTTCCCCCATAGCAGTAACCTCTGACCCCCTCCCCAACATCAATATCCTCTGCCCCCTTTTCCCCATAGCGGTGACCTCCAGCCTCCCCCCAGCAGTGTGTCCCCCCCCCCATGGACAGGTATTTTACAAATCTGAATTCCCAGCAAGTGGCTGGGGATTGGGATTTCTTGCCCCCCCCCCCCACCCTGGTGCCCTAGGGCAGCTGCCTTAGGGCATCAGGGTAGCCAGGGAGCGGAAAAATCCCAGTCCCTAGCCACTTGCTGGGAGTTCAGATTTTTAAAATACCTGCCTTCCGACAATCCCCTTTATTGTCCCCCTGGAGCAGCTGAAAGCTAGCATCTCTTCCTTGCCCTCCCACCAGCTTACGGCTGCTGCAGGAGGAAAATCCAGGGGATCGATTCAAGTAAACGCCTCCCCCACTGCCCCTCACATCCTTGTTGCTCCTTTTTTCTGCTGCCTGGCCCTTCCCCCAAGTGCTCCCCTTTCAACAAGGCTCCTAAAAAAATTGTAAATACATAAAAAAATAAAAATGTAAAAATAAAAACTACTGACACCAACCTCTGCCTTACTGACACTATCCACTGCTCTACTGACACCAACCTCTACCCAACTGACACCAACCTCTACCCTACTGACACCAACCTCTGCCCTACTGATCCACTGCTCTACTGAGTGACAACAACATCTGCCCTAATGACTAACACTGTCCATTTTTAAGTTTGTATTTTTACAGTGACATTTGTTTCATTATATTGTTCTACATGTTCCTTGCTATTTAGTTAGACCTTGCTAGTTATTTTTTTTTTTTTTAAATGGTGCTGAACCCTGGTGATCTTTGATCTCCTTCATGTTGTTCAGGTAGATCTCCACCTCTCAAAAGTTGCCTAGCCCTGCTATGTATGAAGGTAAAAAACCTTCTGTGTCCAGCAGCCCCCCCCAAATACTTACCTGAGCCCCCTCTCGATCCAGCAACAGATGGGAGACGGTCATTGGTTAAAAATCTGTCCCAATTATTTATATCACAGCACAGATTCTTACACTGATATCCCCTGCAGCTTCCCAGGTTGGGTTTTCCAGCACAATTAGGCTCCATTTACGCTTGTGCAACTCTAAAGCCGCACGATTTCCAGTGCGACTTTTAATGTGACATTGATGTGACGTTACACTCTCTGGCACTCAAGTCACATCAAAGTAGTGCAGGAACTTTTTCAAAGTCACACAGATCCGATTCGAAGCCATTGAAAACAATGGCCTGGGTCTTGTCATGTGACTGTGTGTCAAAAAAAATTTCATGACAAGTTGCGCAAGTGTGAACAGAGCCCTAGGTGCTGCTGTAGGGCCTCCAGCTACATTGTATTAGCCCTTGCAAGCCCTTGCCTTATGAATTTCCCCACAATACAGACACAAACATTTTTCACCAAACACAGCAAGCTGACTTTTCTCTCTTTAAATGACACTGGTACAAAGTTTGTGCATTCCACAGGCTTTAGATGTCTTTATTGTCAATATTTTAGTGTGATAGCATCCTATACCACATGTGTGAATAGCATCCAATCTGGGATCTCAACAACCAGGCTACATGGCAATTGCAATTTATTTGTTTGCTGGCTAGCAGATCCAAAACGTTTTTATGTCCTAAAACAGCCATAGACAGTGCTTCATTCTTATAAACCACCTGTGGATTACCAGTGTAGGGATCTGCTGCCCTCTACTTTCTATATTATTAAATAGCTGTTGCTTGTTAATTACCACAGAGTTAGTTGATTATAGACAAGTTCTTCCTGTCCCTGCTAACTGGGTCAGAAACCCTACTTGGAGGACTGTGATGTTTTATAAAAGGGAGCTTACAGGAAGTAGGCACACATTAGCCACATTATCTTCCAGCAGGAGCTGCTGTTGTATTTTATCCAGGCCAGAAGCAAGGCTCATTAGGTAAGTGTTCCTATATTTAATAGCTTATTATTGATGCCCATAGCTTTTGGATGTATAAAGGTATATAATTGAAGACTGGTGACAGAAGTATAGCCCCTTGTTATCTCACAAACACTACACCAGCTAGTTTGGTCTGTGACATAGTTTGCATGTGTAGTGGTCACCATGTATATTAGTATGTGAACCTGTTTATTGTAAAGAAGTACATATGGAGTTCATGTTATTCCCTTCTGCACTAGGACTATATACTGTAGCTAGAGAGGTCACCTAAAGTCTAAATGCCTGACCTCATGATGATAATACATATCTCTTGTGCACAATATGACAAACAATTGACAGAGATCTGTATTTAAGAGAGTGTAAACAACTACTGGGATCTGTGTTTGATACTGTTCAGGTTACTAAGGCTGGCCATACACTATACAATTTTCTTTAGAAAACTCCTTTAGATTTACCAAAAAAACATATAATATGAGGTCAAACCTAAACAACACTTTCAATTATATCCAATTAGGCGGACCCTTGCACTACACAGGTAGAGGCATGATGGGACTTGTAGTTTCGCGACAGCTGGAGGGCCGTCAGTTTGACACCCCTGTGAGTCCAACGCATAGCTCCAAGGGACATCCTCAGACTAACTAAGTACAGCTGAATAAAAAGGCAATTAAAAAACTCAGGTAAGCATGTCACAATCTTCAGGAAAGGTTACCCCACATGCGATATGAAGGTCATGTGACTCATTTTTGAGAAATATCGCATGAGATATATTAAAAAATGAGTCAATTCTTTAACCACTAGCCTACAGGGCACTTATACCCCCTTCCTGCCCAGGCCAATTTCCAGCTTTCAGCACTGTTGCACTTTGAATGACAAGTGCACGGTCATGCAACACTGTACCCATATGACATTTTTATCATCATTTTTTTGTCACAGATAGAGCTTTCTTTTGGTGGTATTTAATCACCTCTGGGTTTTTTATTTTTTCTTAAACAAACCAAAAAACACTGAAAATTTAAAAAAAAAAAAACATTTTGTCTTAGTTTTTGTTATAAAATTTTGTAAATAAGTGATTTTTCTCCTTCACTGATGTGCGCTAATGAGGCTGCAGTGATGGGCACTGATAGGCTGCACTGATGGACACTGATAGGTGGCACTGATGGACACTGATGAGGAGGCACTGGTAGGTGGCACTGATGGGCATTGACAGGCATCACTGATGGGCACTGAAAGGCAGCACTCATATATGGCACTGATAGGTGGCACTGATAGGCGGCACTGACTGGCACTGATAGGCGGCACTGACTGGCACTGTTAGGCGGCACTGATAGGCAGCACTGACGGGCACTGATAGGCGGCACTGACTGGCACTGATAGGTGGCACTGACTGGCATTGATGGGTGACACTGAAAGGCAGCTCAGATGGGCACTGATATGTGGCTTTGATGTGGCACTGATGGGCACTGAAATGTGGCACTGATGTGGCACTGGCAGGTGGCATGGATGAGCACTGAGAGCTGGCACTGATGGACACTGACAGGTGGGGCTACACAGATCACCAGGGCACACTGATCATCAGTGCCCTGATGATCAGTGTAGATGTCCCCTCCGAGCAATGCTGATCACCAGCTCTCGAGCTGTCAGCGTGACAGCTCGTGGGGAGAAAAAAGCCGATAACCGGCATTTCCCTGTTTACATGTGATCAGCTGTGATTGGACACAGCTGATCACAGGACCGAGCCGACATCTTTGGCTCTTTCCATGGATCGTTGATCCGCTGTGTCCCTCGGCTCCGGGAGCCGCGCATGCGCGGTTAGAATGGGAGGACGTCATATGACGTCCTCCCAGAACGAGAGGACCACCTTGCGCCCATCATATTACTATATGGCAGGCGGGAGGTGGTTAAAGTAAAATATCAATGTGAGCCAAATACTGCATATTTGTTAAAATAGTGAGATAAATACCGTATTTTGACAGCGTATAAGACGACTGGGCGTATAAGACGACCCCCAACATTTCCACTCAAAACATAGAGTTTGTTATATACTCGCCATATAAGACTACCCCTCTTCCGCACACCTTCCACACACCAAATAAAACGTAAAAGAACATCAGATTTGATTTCAACATCTTAATTTATATTCGAATGCTTATGACATGCAGGAAAACTGTAACAAGGCTGTATGTTATCAAACATGTACAGTAAACATAAAACAGTGCAAGTTTATTAAACGTAATTCACTAAAGAAAACACACTCCCTCCTCCTCTGCGCAAGCAACACTCCAAGTGAACCCTATGGACGGGTAGATGCTTCTCAGGAACACAGGCAGGCAGCCCACAACCCAGAGGAACTCTGGCAACACACTGTAGAAGACAAGAAGAAAAACAGCGGGCGCCACCTCCTCGTGTAAAACCTGGCGTGACAGTTTCCCTTTAAAAGCCTTCAAACTCCTGTTTGTCATCTGATATTAAAAGTTCATCAATGACATCTTGTGATACAGTTGCAAGGCAGTCATCGTATGGATCTAATTCCGTGTCAGATGATGTGGCCTCAGCTTCAGCTTCCTCTTCATCTTGCCACAAGTACTCGTCCTCCATACCATCTAATGAATTTGATATGCCACACTTCTTGAAAGACTTGATTACTGTTTGTGCATCAATATCATTCCAGGCTTTTATGACAAATTGGCACAAAACATCCAACTGTGGAGCACGCATGTTTCCTCCTTTTGTGTATGACTTTTCGCCGCTAACCATCCATTCATTCCACTGTTCTCGAATGCGATCTTTAAATGGCTTGTTTAGGCACACATCCAGGGGCTGTACCAATGATGTCAATCCTGCAGGAATAACTGCCACATCTGTTTTTATTCTCGCAAGCCTTTCCTTAGTGGTGGGAGTTGAATGAGCCCTGAACATATCCCACACAAGTAGACTACGTTTTTGAAGTAGAACACCTGGTCGTCTGCTCCATACATTATCCAGCCAAAGTTTCACACCCTCCTCATCCATCCAGCCTTTTTCATGCACGTGCACAAAACAACCAGCAGGGAACTTGAGTTTTGGCATTGTTTTCCTTTTAAAAAATAATCATAGGTTTCAGTTTGTTGCCATCAGCTGTGCATGCTAGTACCACTGTAAAACTTGACTTCTCATGTCCTGTTGTTTTTATCAAAATAGTTTTTTCACCTTTTTGATGAACAGTTTTATTTCCAATCATATCAAAATTCATTGGAGTTTCATCCATATTTCCAATATTACTTAACGCATAGCCATGTTTAGTGCTCTGTTGTATTACGTATCGATGGAAACTATCCACTTTATTATCCAGATCTGCAGGTAATTTTTGGGCAATTTTTGTCTTTTGCCTTAGTACCAGATCATGCCTTGCCATGAATCTACTACACCAGGATATAGTGGCCTTAAAATTGTTGCTGTGATCTGGGTTAGATTTGGCCCACTGAAGTGCAAACAAGCGTATTATATTTCGTGTCACCACATAACCGTTTTGGCGATGCTGAGCCACCATGTCTGCTACATGTTTTTCGAGTTCTGGCCAGTGTGGGGTGCCTCTTCTTAATGCACACTTACCCCTAGGCATACTCTTTAATGCTTTTTCATTTGATTTCCAGTCCCGAACCATCTTTTCTGTTACTCCATATTGTCTTGCAGCAGCACAATTATTATGTTCCATGGCAAAGTTTACAACTTGAAGTTTAAAACTTGCATCATATTTTCTTTCTTTTTGCTGGTGCCATGATAGGGTTGATAGGGGTTTGACTACTGGACATTTTCTATGCTGTATTGTACTGTACAATGGTGCAGTACTGTGGTTGGCTGTTGGCTGTATACAAAGCCTGATTGGATTGGTCCCTGCTCCCTGTCTGCCCTCCCTGTCTCCATGTCACTAGCAGCAGTCTGGTCCGCCCTTGAATCCATATTATGGATAGCACCAGTATTATAGTACCGTACCATATATTAATACCAAGTGACATATGGTATATTATGACCTGATAAGAGATTTGGATAGGGAGTGCATAAGAAGGGGGGAGGGGGCAAGGAGAAAGTTGTAAAATGTATAAAAGTATACCCCTGTGTGCATTTATTGTTACCGGTTTCACATGAGTGCCATTAGTATTAGTGCCACTACAGTACCTGTCATTGTCACCATTGTACGCGCGACCGCAGCGCCTCCGGCCAGTCCCTGCATCTCCCTGTAATTGGCACTAGTGCGCATGTGCGAGCTCTGCATAGACAAGGGGCGGGCCGGAGCGCCGCTGCTTCCCGCTGAGCAGAAAAGGCTGGCACCCCTGTATCGCTGCTGATGCTCGCCGCAGCCACGCTGATGACCCGCCGCAGCCGCACTGGATACCGCGCGATACTGGATGGTATGTAGAATGAGGTGGGCGGGCGCGGGGGCATCGGGAGGCCACTATGGCAGCTATATCTATCCCAACTGAAGTGCACCCGGCATATAAGACGACCCCCCCACTTGGAGGCATGTTTTTCAGGGCAAAAAAGTTGTCTTATACGCCGGCAAATACGGTACTACAAAAAACAAGATAAATCATTAAAGTCAATTAATTAAAAAAACACAAATTTAATTTGTTCCAAATTATTACGCACAGTAAGTTTCAAAACACTTTATAGGTTGTAAAGAACTGAAAACTGTCATTTGTTGTGTTTGCAGCATATTTACTGAAATCAAAAGCTATTTCAATCAACTTTTTAAACATTTTAACAGGTCATGTTACATTGTAACATAGGACCCCTTATTTGGTAGCAGCTTCACAAGTCTTTCATCCATTGAACTTGTGAGTTTTTGGACAGTTACTGCTTGAATTTGTTTGCAAGATGTCAGAATAGCCTCCCAGAGCTGCTGTTTGGATGTAAACTGCCTCCCACCCTCATAGATATTTTGCTTGAGGATGCTCCAAAGGTTCTCAATAGGATTGAGGTCAGGGAAGGATGGAGGCCACACCATGACTTTCTCTCCATTTATCCCCATAACAGCCATTGATGCAGAGGTATTTTTTGCAGCATGAGATGGTGCATTGTCATGCATGAAGATGATTTTATTACGGAAAGCATAGTTCTTCCTTCTGTACCAGGGAAGAAAGTGATCAGTTATAAACTCCACATACTTTTGCAGAGGTCATCTTTACACCTTTAGGGACCCTAAAGGGGCCGACCAGCTCTGTTCCCATGATTCCGGCCCAAAACATGACTCCACCACCGCCTTGCTGACGTTGCAGCTTTGTTGGAACAGGGTGACCGCCCACCAACCATCCACTACTCTATCCATCTGGACCATCCAGGGTTGCACGGCACTCATCAGTGAACAAGACTGTTTGAAAATTAGTCTTCATGTATTTTTCTGCCCAATGCAGCCATTTCTGCTTGTGAGCATTGGTTAGTGGTGGCCGAATAGAAGGGTTATGCACAGTTTCAAGACTCTGGAGGACTCTACACCTTGATGTCCATGGGACTCCAGAGGCACCAGCAGCTTCAAATATCTGTTTGCTGCTATGTAATGGTATTTTAGCAGCTGCTCTCTTGATCCGATGCATGGATGTGGCAGAAATCTTCCTCAATGTGCCTTTATCTGCACAAACCCATCTGTGCTCTGAATCAGCCGCAAATCTCTTAATAGTGCGATGATCACGCTTAAGTTTTCGTGAAATATCTAATGTTTTCATACCTCATCCAAGGCATTGAACTATTTCACTCTTTTCAGCAGCAGAGAGATCCTTTTTCTTCCCCTTATTGCTTGAAAATGGTGCTCTGCTTAATAATGTGGAACACCCTCCTTTAGTAGTTTTTCCTTAAATTGGGCTCACCTGCCAATCTAATTATCACAGGTGTCCGAGATTGTTTTCAGTGATCAAAAGAGCCCTGACACACAATGCCATCCATGAGTTAAACTGAAAAACAAAATATTTAATCTTTGTGACACTTAAATAGAATTTGGATAATAATTTGGAACGCGGTGTAAACCTTCACACTGCCACTACCTCCTTTTTGTACAGAGAAAGAGGAAACTCGGCAATATCAGCAATACATTAGGATTGGATACATACAATACATTTGGATAATCATCTGGATACCACTGTCACCGCAGACAGGCTATACAGAGGGTTAAACACACATAGTAGCGCTCTTCAGTGGCAGGAATTCGTACGTTGCATTAAAAGCTTTAGAAACAGTTCAACACTTTCAGAAAGTAAGATTTATTACTAAAAGGTCAAAAGGGTGCAATAAAAATATTTACAGAAAAAAGATGTAACCAATATACATATAAATACAAAGAGCAATAACACAGCAAAAAGGTAACAAAGAAGTTTAGAGAGGTAGAGTACTTGCGAAAAGTCCTGGGTTAAGCAGATCAAGTTTCAGAGCAAAAGGGCACCGTCTCCCAAGTTGGTTCTGATGTTAAAAGGGAGATTTCTTCAACTTCCACTCTTAGGCGTGACAGTCTATTTTGTAGTCCCCCAGCAGGGGGTGTGTCAGGGCTCCAGGGTATGACCAGAGGTATGTGACTGACGCAGGGAAACGCAGGCTTCAGATATGTTATAAACAATACGATTTATTAACACTAACAATACATAAACGCAGTGCAATACTAAAACATAACACAGTGCAAACAAACCAAAACCACCCACAGATAACTATACATACAATGCAAGCGTCGTCAGGCAGGCCGGGTCAATAACAAACGGGCAGGTAGGAACAGGAGGAGCAGGCAGAGAGTAGTCAGGTCACGAGCCGGGTACAGCAACTAACAGGCAGGTAGGTACAGGGGGTCAGGCAGAGAATGGTCGGGGTCACAAGCCAGGGATCAGAACAGGAGAAGTCAGCAGAGGTCAGGATCAAACAGGGTCAGCAACAAGACAGGGACAGGAACAGGAATGCAGGAACAAGATACAGGGCCCAGGAAAAACACACACACCAAGGCAAAGACTGCAGGTCTGGCCATCACTTAAATACACCTGCATAAGCAGTTTCAGGTGTTTGGCTGACTGCAGGGTTGAGTCTCTGATTGCTGGGAGCACCCGCTGGCCAGCCCTGGTACTGCAGCCCACAAGGCAGGTGAGTCCCACCACTACTGGCAAGTCCATTCCTAACAGTACCCCCCCTAAAGGAGCGGCCTCAGGACGCTCCAAACAGTCCTAGCTGGGCAAAATGTTCCACCGCCCGGGTCTGGTAACTGGCGGGATATCAAAGACTGGCACATCGGGCAGGACTCCGGGCAGCGGCACACCGGGCAGGACTCCGGGCAACGGCACACCGGGGCAGCGGCACATCGGGCAGGACTCCGGGCAGCGGCACATCGGGCAGGACTCCGGGCAGCGGCACATCGGGCAGGACTCCGGGCAGCGGCACATCGGGCTGGACTCCGGGCAGCGGCACATCGGGCTGGACTCCGGGCAGAGGCACATCGGGCTGGACTCCGGGCAGAGGCACATCGGGCTGGACTCCGGGCAGAGGCACATAGGGCTGGACTCCGGGCAGAGGCACATCGGATCACCAGGCGAAGCAGCAGGCACTGGGCCACCATGGGCGGAGCAGCAGGCACCGGGCCACCAGGCGGAGCGGCAGGCACCGGGCCACCAGGCGGAGCGGGCAGGCACCGGGCCACCAGGCGGAGCGGCAGGTCTTGGGCCCCCAGGCGGAGCGGCGGGCGCGGCGCCGGACCCCCAGGCGCCGGACCCCCAGGCGGAGCGGCGGGCGCCGGACCCCCAGGCGGAGCGACAGGTCTCGGGCCCCCAGGCGGAGCGGCGGGCGCCGGCCCCCCAGGCGGAGCGACAGGTCTCGGGCCCCCAGGCAGAGCGGCGGGCGCTGGACCCCCAGGCGGAGCAACAGGTCTCGGGCCCCCAGGCGGAGCGGCGGGTGACGGACCCCCAGGCGGAGCGACAGGCACCGAGTCACCAGGCACGACAGTGGGCTCCGAGTCAACTGGCATGACCACGGGCACTGGGTCAGACATTGGATCATCTGGCTGGACAGCGGGTATCGGGTCACCAGGCATCAGGTCATTTGGCTCGACAGCGGGCACCGCGTCATCTGGCAAGGCAGTGGGCACCAAGTCACCAGGCACGACAGTGGGCTCTGAGTCAATTGGCACGACAGCGGGCACCGGGTCATCAGGTACCGGATCGTCTGGCTCGACAGCAGGCACCGGGACATCTGGCGCTGGATCGTCTGGCTCGACAGCGGGCATCGGATCACCAGGCATGACCGCGGGCACTGGGTCATCAGGCATTGGATTGTCTGGCTCGACAGCGGGCATCGGGTCACCAGGTATGACAGCGGGCACTGGGTCACCAGGCATCAGGTCATTTGGCTCGCCAGCGGGCACCGCGTCACCTGGCAAGGCAGTGGGCACCGAGTCACCAGGCACGACAGCGAGCTCTGAGTCAATTGGCACGACAACGGGCACCGGGTCATCAGGTACCGGATCGTCTGGCTCGACAGCAGGCACCGGGTCATCTGGCACTGGATCGTCTGGCTCGACAGCGGGCATCGGGTCACCAGGCATGACAGCGGGCACTGGGTCATCAGGCATTGGATCGTCTGGCTCGACAGCGGGCATCGGGTCACCAGGTATGACAGCGGGCACCGGGTCATCAGGTACCGGATCGTCTGGATCAACAGCGGGCATCGAGTCAACTGGCCTAATAGGATCATCAGGCTGGATCAGTTCATCAGGCTGGGTAGAAACATCATGCTGGGTAGAGGCAGCAGGCTGAATAGAGGCATCAGGCTGAATAGAGGCATCAGGCCGGGTAGAGGCATCAGGCCGGGTAGAGGCATCAGGCCGGGTTGAGGCATCAGGCTGAATGGAGGCATCAGGCTGAATGGAGGCATCAGGCTGAATAGAGGCATCAGGCTGGGTAGAGGCATCAGGCTGGGTAGAGGCATCAGGCTGGGTACAGGCATCAGGCAGGGTAGAGGCATCAGGCTGGGTACAGACATCAGGCTGGGTACAGACATCAGGTTGAAGTGCGGGTGCCGAGGCACCAGGCTGAACCACGGAAGGCCGGTTCTCAGACGGCAGGCTGACTGGTTTGGATACTGGCAGGATGGTACTGGTTGGAAAGAATTTTCGCTTTTTTTGGTTTTAACTACTGGAGCACTGCAAGTAAACGCAGGTCTGCAAACGAATGGAGCAGCTGGAGACAGAGAAGAGCTGGAGGATGGAACAGGGGAGTGAACAGTTGCTACAGAGGACTTCTTTACAGGGTTAAAGGCAGGATAGGTGCAGCGAGTGGGAACAGGGTACTGATATGCGGTAGATAGCAGGGCAGGAGGAGCTGTTGGGAATGCAGGAATAGAGCTTTGAGGAAATAGATTAGAAGCAGGACTGGGTTTTTGCAAGCTGACTGAGGCTGGGTGCAACAAATCTGTCCATGTCTGCAGTATGGGTTGAACAAAGCTGAGCTTACACAAAGGCTGTCTGACCAAAGACTGCACTGCGTTTATACAATCTCTTAGTATCTGTGGTGAACATGCAGAATAACGCTCCAGAAAGTAATCCACATCATCCTCTAATAACCATACCAGGGACTCTACCTGGTCGGCACTAAATGGTGGCAAAAATTCATCCCTGCATTCGGGGGTACCAGATGAAACCAACCCCGCACAAACCTGAATCAATGGCTGCACCTCAGAGAATTCTGTGCCCTGATCTACTAGAACATGAGCGAGCCGTATACATTCCAGCAGTTCATCCCGGGGATACTCCTTCAGAGTCTGATAAGCATATTCTCTGTCATCAAACACTAGCAGATATAAATACACAACCTCATCAAGATCCATCCTTCCCATCAACAAACCAAGATGGCTTCCCTGTGCAGCCACTTCTGGTCAGGATTGGCCTTGGTGTAATGTCAGGGCTCTCCAGTATGTGACTGACGCAGGGAAACGCAGGCTTCAGATATGTTATAAACAATACGATTTATTAACACTAACAATACATAAACGCAGTGCCATACTAAAACATAACACAGTGCAAACAAACCAAAACCACCCACAGATAACTATACATACAATGCAAGCGTCGTCAGGCAGGCCGGGTCAATAACAAACGGGCAGGTGGGAACAGGAGGAGCAGGCAGAGAGTAGTCAGGTCACGAGCCGGGTACAGCAACTAACAGGCAGGTAGGTACAGGGGGTCAGGCAGAGAATGGTCGGGGTCACAAGCCAGGGATCAGAACAGGAGAAGTCAGCAGAGGTCAGGATCAAACAGGGTCAGCAACAAGACAGGGACAGGAACAGGAATGCAGGAACAAGATACAGGGCCCAGGAAAAACACACACACTAAGGCAAAGACTGCAGGTCTGCCCATCACTTAAATACACCTGCATAAGCAGTTTCAGGTGTTTGGCTGACTGCAGGGTTGAGTCTCTGATTGCTGGGAGCACCCACTGGCCAGCCCTGGTACTGCAGCCCACAAGGCAGGTGAGTCCCACCACTACTGGCAAGTCCATTCCTAACAGGGTGTCTCTGAAGCCAAGGACCAATGCCTCATTTGGGGAGGGGTGTCTAGGCAGAGACCCAAGCTAGAACCAAAATCTCTCCTAGCTTATATTTTGGCTCATAACTTTTCCTAGGCACAAGTTACATTCCACCCGCGGGTAGATTAATATGCAGACGCATCTGTGGAATGGTTAGATATGAAATATAAAATACAGACTTGAATGGTTCAAGAGATGTAATTTTCTGCTTTCCTATATATTCCAGCCAAGGAGAGTGACAAATCAAATTGTTTGTCTTCTCGTGGCCAATCTGAAGATATGCCTGGTTTTTATGTAAGTCTCTCATATTCCAAGATATGAGACATAGGGGAAAAATGGATTTTAAAAGTGTTATCTAGTTTCTTACTCCTCTGGAATGTCTTTGAACTCAGAGGAAGGCTTGGGTTATCCTTTTACGAGGTGCCAGATTGCACAGGTTCTTAGACAGCGAGGCCCCAGCTCCCTTGGGGGTTTTATAGCTCGGAGCTTCTGCTGTGCTCTGGCCTCCTGTGACACTTCTCATCACTCAGGCCACATGTCACTGTAAATGAACAGAGAGGGAGGGGGGATGATGGGACAACATGGAGAATGCTTAACAAAATGGAGGGTTGGAGCAAAATGGTTGAACCGCGTCCATCTCTGTGGGTACGATTGCTACATGCATGAGGACTAAAGCAGGCCATACATGGGTTAAATTCTGAACGATTTTTCATTTGAAAATCAAAAACATTTGTTCTGTAATCCAATGGTGCCACCAATGATTTTGAAAATCGGTAATTTTTCACGAATTTTCCAGCATGCCCGATAAACGAAATGGGGAGGAAGCACAAAAATCGGCCAGTGCCATTGCCCTACTAACAGAGCAAAAATCAGCTGATTATTCTTAGGTCCGTCGAATGAAAAATCGTTTGAAAATCGACCCATGTATGGCCGGCCTTAGAGGAACTCTGCACTGGGCAGGAAGTGAAATGTATACTTGTGTCAGTTTGAAAATATTCTCCTCTGAGCTCAGGTATGTGAATAAATTGTAACATTTCATCAGAGGGAGATCAGTTTGTGAATGAAAGCACACTAGAAAGTTTTCATAGCTTCACAATATTGCTGTGTGCTTTCTGGTGCAGTGTTAGCAAAAAAAGAAAATTGGCAAAAAAATGCCAAAAATAATGCAAAATTTAAGCGCTAAATATCACCAAACATAAATATCTCAGGCTTTCAGTAAATAACACTTTTTTTAGTGATTTGACTACTTTTCAGATAAATACTGCAGAAGTTATTTTAACTGAAAAAATCATGCGCTTTTACAGTCAGGTCCATAAATATTGGGACATCGACACAATTCTAACATTTTTGGCTCTATACACCACCACAATGGATTTGAAATGAAACAAACAAGATGTGCTTTACTGCAGACTGTCAGCTTTAATTTGAGGGTATTTACATCCAAATCAGGTGAACGGTGTAGGAATTACAACAGTTTGCATATGTGCCTCCCACGTTCATTTCAAATCCATTGTGGTGGTGTATAGAGCCAAAAATGTTAGAATTGTGTCGATGTCCCAATATTTATGGACCTGACTGTATCTCTTAGTGAATTGATCCCTAGATCTCTTTAAAGGAGAAGCACAGCCAAAGCTCTTTTGTGGATCACAGCAGTGCAGTTCGTTCTGTTCTCCTGTGACCTGTTTTCAGCTGACAGCGTGCTGAAGCCTGCTGTCGGCTGACATCACTCAGCCGGTCCAGGCTAGGGAAAGATCTCAACTTTAAAGTCGGAATCCACCCCAGAGTCTGGAGCGGCACCTGGCTTAGCCTGTCAGCTATCTGCAGAGAGCCTGTGCCAGCCCCTCCACCGCCCAGCGCTCCAGTGAGCGTGGGGGGTCAGAGCAGACAGTGGTGACTAACAGTCATCCCTCTCTGCTCACAGTGGCAGTGAGAAGTCAGCGATCAGCGGTTATGTGATCGCTGAGTTTTCACCTTTAGAGCGGGTGGGGGGCAGATGCTGCATCCACCTAAGTAAGTATAATTTGGGCAAAAAAACCCCAAAACATCTCTTTAATTTGCACCTGTGCTTAAACTTTGGACATTAAAGTATTTAATAACAAGCAAAAAAAAAAAATTTTTTTCTGACCTCAGTAATTCATTCTCAAGTAATTCATTCTCACAGATCACAACATTCTCACAGATCACAACAAAGAAGCTGGCTTTTAGTCAGTTTCTAACAGTGCACTTTTGTTTACTTTAGAAGGCTAGCAGACTGCCGAGAAAATAAAGGAAGAGAAGCTGTGATTTTTGTACCTTTGTGGTGAAATGTATAGAATAAATTCTCCATGATGCCTACAACTACATAGGTCAGTGAAAGATTGTTTTAAAGCGCTTTAACTGTGCATCCAGTATATGTTTAAAACTTAATGTGCAAAAACAGCGAACAGATACACAGTAATTATGAAAAACGCAGGATAATGGAATTTCACCTAGAAACAAAAGACATACCTCCTGAGACTCAGTTTGTATGGATAGTATGGCAACTTGCTGACTTGACAATATCCACCAGCAGTGTTATCTCACCAAAAAGATTCAAGTGATCTGGATTAAATAGGGTTTACATTGAACTGGATGCCTGAGGTGCTAACAGGTTGCAAGGCAGAAAAGTTTTCAAGGTGCCTGACTAACCTATAAGGTCGATCACTAGAGAGTCTTGAGTTGGAGGTTCTTCTGTTGGACTGCTGCATAAGATTTGATTGTTTCTGGCCAATCCTATTGTGACTGCTCTGGCTTCGAATAAATTGCAATGTCTAAGGCTGCTGTTATAAATCGTGGGGCCCAGTACAACCTACCCGCCAAAAAAATCAAAATAATATTTTCTCTAAAAATACACTAAAATCAAAATTAACAGACACAAACACAACACAACTTACAAAAATAATCTTACAAAATTCTTGCTAAATCTAAAAGATAAAACTGTATTGATTTAATAAATAAAGCTGTGTGTGTGTATGTATGAGGTCTTGGGGCTGGACAGTGTAAATCAGCATTCGTTTTATATGGCTGGAGCTGTGTGCAGGCATGTTATGCTAAAGAAACACAGCAGCTTTACAAACGCAGCTGCAGGTAATAATCTGACAGGCCTGTGAGTGCGGGTGTACAGCCCCTAAGACAGACAGTGTCGGAGCCACTCACCCGCACCTGAACACCTCTCAAATTAGGATCTGTGGCTGTGTTTATACAGTCATTGCATCCCCATAGAATACCAGGCAGCTCCGGCCTCACAAACAAACCACTCATTCACACATGGGCCAAGGAACGCATGTAAATGAGCCTTTTTTTTTAGTTTTTTTAATTATTTTATACAATTTTCAAAATGTAAAAAAAAAATGTTCACAATGCTGTTGGAGGACAGTTTTTTTTTGGGGCAAAATATCAGGGATGCAAACAGAACCCTGATGTTTGAAGTTTGAGACAGAGAAAGGGGTTGAAGACATAGATCCCCAATCCTTTCTCTGGAGCCTTAGCTGTACTGCATATGAATAAACATTGTGCAAAGGATTCCTATTCATTCACAAACTTAAGAATAGCAAACACAGTTTACAAATCAAGATTTGTTTACACAGTTTCGTTTATTGGAGAGGGTTAACCGCTTTTGCACTGTCCAATAGCAGAAATACTGCTGTGCAGGGTGGCACGGATGCACAAAATCACGTATATATACACGTGATTTTTCAGTACCGGATAGGGGGCGCGTGCCGCCATTCGCAGCCTGTCAATCTTCAGATCCTTATCTGTGATTCTCTGCCGTCACCCGCCAATCTCCGAGGATTTCTGACAGGGGAGAGACCTGTATGTAAACAGTACAGATCTCTCCTCTGTCAGCTCCTGCACACTGCTTTGTATGGCTCTGCATAGCGTCATTAGTACAGTGTCAGTGCTTTTTATTAACATTGATCACTGTATTGGTGTCACTGGGGATGTCAATGACACCAAGTCAGTTCCCCCTAGTGTCAGAATGCCTGCCGCAGTCCCGCTTTTTGTGAATTGGTGCCCAAAACAGAATTGCATTTTCCAGATGAGGTCTTACCATGATTTGTACATGGGTAAAATTCTCTCTCTCTCTCTCTCTCTCTGGAGTCTATACCTCTTAATACAAGAGAGGGTCATATTCTTTAACTCGCACCTTTCTCTCCACTAGATACCATCTATGGAAATCCATGATTTTACTGGCTTACAGTGTTGTTTTAGCAAACCAACGTTGGGTTCTATAGTAGTCATACACAACAAGATTGGTGATGCTGGGGACTTCTGGTGCCCGGCTCAGCAGACCCTGGTGGTGTTGAAAGCAACTTTTGACCTGCTGTAGTACAGCATCAATGGAGCTCTACCCTAGGCCAAGAAAATTGTGAGACGCTGATACAGTGCAGGGTCTTTGCATAGTTGTCAATATCACTTACAGTGGGGATCGAAAGTTTGGGCACCCCAGCTAAAAATTTGTATTAATGTGCATAAAGAAGCCAAGGAAAGATGGAAAAATCTCCAAAAGGCATCAAATTACAGATTAGACATTCTTATAATATGTCAACAAAAGTTGACAGAAAACAAAAAAATGGCGTCTGCAAACGTTTGGGCACCCTGCAGAGTTAATATCTTGTACTGCCCCCTTTGGCAAGTATCACAGCTTGTAAACGCTTTTTGTAGCCAGCCAAGAGTCTTTCAATTCTTGTTTGAGGTATCTTTGCCCATTCTTCCTTACAAAAGTCTTCCAGTTCTTTGAGATTTCTTGGTGTTCCAGATCTTGCTTTAACCATTCCACTGTTCCTGATGACTGCCATTTCTTAATTACATTCTGAACAGAGGATATTGACATCTGAAAACGCTTTGCTATCTTCTTAGAGGTATTCTAGCCTTCTCCAGCTTTGTGAGCATCAACTATTTTCAGTTTCAGTTTTCTAGACAACTGCTTAGAAGAACCCATGGTGCTGATTGTTGGGGCAAGGTCAGATGAGTCTGGGCATTTAAAACCTTTGAGATTGACATCACCTGGTCTTCCCAGACGATGATTGAGAACAATCCATGACACTGGCAGGTCTCAGCTTGGCAAAGGGGGCAGTGCATGCTATAAATTCTGCAGGGTGCCCAAACTTTTGCAGACGCCATTTTTTTGTTTTCTGTTATTTTGAAAGTGTAAATGATGGAAACAAAATCTAACTTTTGTTGACATATTATAAGAATGTCTAATCTGTAATTTGATGCCTTTTGGAGATTTTTCCATCTTTCCTTGGCTTCTTTATGCACATTAATACAAATTTTTAGCTGGGGTGTCCAAACTTTCGATCCCCACTGTATATAGGACCTTCCTCACTCTCTGTTGTTGGTTTACTTTTATTCTTAATAGGCTCCTACATGATTACATAGAACACTGTGGTGTGCTTCATTAAGTTAGTTGGGCTCTCCCCAACCTGCTTCATGCTCGTTTTTCACAGGTCAGATGCTGATAGGACCACAAACTCTGTGCCCAGATAATACTTTTCTGTCAGTAATGGAGTACTGAGATATGGGCTCTTCAGGTTCCAGGAGGTGTGTGGGAACTTCAAGGCTTTGCTTGCATACACTAGCACTTATTGTGATCACATAGTCTGCTTTGGTCATCTTATGCCCGCTTACTGGGGCCCTCTCAAGATTTGAGATACAGCATACGCTTTGTTTCTAGTTTTTCTCTTTTAGGGAGTTGCATTTTACATTGTTTTACAGTAGTTAAAAGTTGCATGTTTTCTGGCTGGCTGTGCTCGCGTTATGAGAGGAGGGGGTTAAGAGTCCCTTTTAAGAGGGTACTTAATCCTTGCTACCAAAATACAACCCCTGAGCTGATGGTAACTAATTTCAGTATGGTTTCTTTTTCATGGTGTGTTCCTAGCACAACTGCTTACCACCTTCCCTCACATAGGCCTTCTGCCATTACTACCCTCTAAGCTTAAGGACGGGACAATGGTGCTACTATAAGCTAGTTAAAGTCAGCTGTTTTTGGTATCTACTGTATATGTTGGTGTGCCTCACCCCTTAACCCTATACCTACTTAACCTTCACCTTTACATTCTTGTCCCTCTAACAATCCTCCTTTGTTTTTTCCAACTTCCTCTCTCCCCTTTCCCCCTCCCTTCTTATTTTTGCTTTTACTTTTTTTTTTTTCTCCTCTTCTCCAGCTCCGAATGCACCCACCTCTTCCCTCCCCAACAATTCAATGACCTGGTTCAGGTGGCCTGTGGCTGGATTAGGCCACCAAATTGGAGGGGTCCAGCTAAAACCACCTGGCTCAAGTAATCTCCAATATAGCATTAAAGCCCCTGAACCCTCTGCCACATCTATCAATTGGACAGGACACACCAGCCATGGGTCCTGTAAAAATTATTTCCTTTAACATCAGGAAACGTAATGTGTCTGAGAAAAGGGCATCGTGGGGAACTATGAAGATTAAGGCAGCATGTAAACTTTTTGCAAAAAGAAAATTTTTAATCCGATAATCACTTGAGGCTTTCAGATTTCAGATACTCAATTTCCTAACATAGTACCAACCTGCAAGCCAAGTCAAAAGAGGTGAGTATCTTTCTCTCCAGATCTTTCAACTGGAGAATAGAGGCTCAGCTATCAAATGATAATGGTTACTTTCAGACAAAGTGCACTTATTCTTTGTGCCCTATATGTCCTCAACTAATAGATTCCATCTTCCCTCTTCACAGATGCATACTAACCGCGATCCGAAGCCAGAAACCTCTAGGTATTGCTTGCATCTCGAAACACAAGTCCTCTGTCCCCTTCTGAACAGAAGAGATCTATAGAATATTATAGAAACCATGTCCCTACATCTCTGTGGGGGACAGGATTTTACCATGTGTAGCACCCTCTTAGTTTAGCTAGGGGTAGTTAGACTCCAATGGTTAGACAGGGGCTGAGCAGCAGCTCACATGTAATAGAGAGGGGTCAAATTGTGGTCAGGGCTGAGAAGCTCTTCAGGCCAGCCCCTCTGGAATTTCCCCCTGCTCTAGAGCGTTGGAGGAAGGCCCTAGAGACAGTGGGTGGATCTGAGGAGTTGCTGGCTGCACTCTTAAAAGTGTTGGAGCCTGCTCAGTGGCAGGTGAGTTGGAGGGAGAGTTCAGGTGGAGGATGTGAGGCTGAGAGCAGGAGGCTGCGAGGAGGCCCAGTGGGATGGGACCTACCTGCAGGTCTGGAGCTGGAGAGGATGAAAACACAGAGCTCACCAACCCCCTGAGAGAGGGCCACCTGGTTGGCAGGGAAGGAGCGGCCCAGCTGATAGGCCTAGTAGAAGCCACCAACCCACAAGCGGTACAGGAGAGGGTCTGAGTGAGAACACCTGAACCCCCTAGGCTGATAGGGGAAGGAGCACTCTGGTGGGAAACCAGATTCACTGCCTATGTGGGATTATCCACTTTTAAAGTAATAAACACCAGATCCCCTGTTCAGCGATACCTCCAGATTGCTGGGTGTAGAAGTAGAGTTTATCTAGGGTCTTGGGTGGTACATGAATAACCACTTGCCCTCCAGAGGCTTTACCCCCCTTCCTGACCAGGCCATTTTTTGCAATATGGCACTGCGTTACTTTAACTAACAATTGCGCAGTCATGCAATGCTGTACATTAATGAAATTCATGTAATTTTTTTCCCACAAATAGAGCTTTCTTTCAGTGGTATTTGATCACCTCTGCAGTTTTTATTTTTGCGCTATAAACAAAAAAAAGACCAACAATTTTGAAAAAACAAACAATATTTTTTACTTTTTGCTATAAAACATATCCAATAAAAAAATGTTAAAAATAAAATTTCTTCATAAATTTAGGCCAAAATGTATTCTGCTACATGTCTTTGCTAAAAAACAAAAATTCCAATAATTGTATATTAATTGGTTTACATGAAAGTTATAGTGTCTACAAATGGCAGTATATACTGTATACTGGAATTTAATATTTTTTTTTATACTAGTAATGGCAGCAATCAGCGACTTATAGCAGGACTGCAGCAGGCATTCTGACACTGGGTGGGAACTGACATCAATAGTGACACTAATACAGTGATCAGTGCTAATTAAAAGCACTATCACTGTACTAATGACACTGGACAGGAAGGGTTCAACATCTGGGGCGATCAAAAGGTTACCTGTGTGATGTGTGTTTTACATTGTGTGCTGTGTGCCGTTTTACTTAGGAGACATGCTGCTTTGTATCTCTACTGTGCAGGAGAGAGACCTGTGTTGTTTACACACAGGTCTCTCCCTTGTCAGCTTTGCCAACGATCACCGAATGCCGGCTGGGAATCGTCGACTGGGACTCGGTGATCGACATCCCCAGCAGCCAATAGTGGCACAGGTAGGGTGGTGCGCGTGCCCTCTACCCGCAAATGTAAATCATGTATATATACACACATGATTTTGCGCAGCCATGCCGCCCTGTAGCAGTATTTCTGCTATAGGGCGGATGGCATGTAGTTAAGGAGATTGTGGCTAGCTCTCCCAAAGGAGACATTGCTGCAGAGAAAGTTTGTAAATAGTTCCAGGAAGTTGTGATCAGTACCCTTGGGCATCCTATACAGCCCTAACCGTATCCCAGTTCAAATCCCCTAAATAAAACAACAAAAAAACAAAGCTCAGGGACTGATTTCTGACTCTGGATGCAAGCTCTTGTGAAGATGTGTGATGCCTGGCTGTGCAGGAATATGAGAGGACCCAAATTTTCTTGCGACTAGGGGGTAGTGCTACACATTTCACAATACAACTGGGGTTTTCTAAGGTTAAAGAAAATACTTGGAGCCGTCAACTGCAACTATAAACCACCATGATGAAAAATAAATACAGGCACACTTAGTTCTATTAGATGGACTTTGGCCATTCTCAGGAATATAAATCCCTGACAGAGAAACTGAGGAATCTTGAGGGATTCCACTGTATGTAAATAGAGAAATGATTGCTTTTCTCCTAACCCTCTCTGTTATCGTAATGTGCTGGTTCTCCCTCTATTGGATGTCTTGTGGATCAAGGATACTTGTAAATATGAGGCAGACAGACTGTATATCTACTTATTATTTCACACATGAAAACCACACCAAAGATGATGATACAGTTGTTTCATTATATCATATATGGCAACATTCTAATCATGCCTAGGCCATATTTTTTGGTATGTTGATATAACTTAAATCGTACTACAGGGTGATTGAAAAGTAATTCCTTATTTTAAAAATCTTATAATTTATTTTTTAATCATTATTTTTGCAAAAAATGAATATGAGAAGAACACACATAACATGGAGTTTTATTTAAAATTCGATATGTGCACCAGCATTTGCCTGCAGCTTCTGAAGCCGCTCGGGAATCGCATCAACTGATCTTCACAGGAACTCTTGTGGGATGGCAGAAATAACTTTCTCGTAGTCGCCCTTCAAGTTCTTCTAAAGTCTTTGGTTTCGTAGAGTAAACTTGTTCCTTCAACCAACCCCAAAGAAAAAAGTCGCAGGGTGTTAAATCAGGGCTTCTGGCCGACCACTCATGTGGACCACGTCGACCCAACCATCTCCCAGGAAAATGTTCATTTAGCCATTCACGAACAATAATAGCAAAATGTGGAGGAGCACCGTCTTGCATAAAAATCAAGTCTTCAATATTCTCTCAGGTATTGACAACTGGCCAGATTTCATCTTGCAGCATAGTGAGATGCCTTTCGGCATTCATGGTATTGCAGATTTAATTGTCATAGATTAAGGAACATACATTAAAGAATTGAGAAAAAAGTAACTTCATATAAAAAATGTATAAATAGTTTAAAACAGGGAGTTACTTTTCAATCACCCTGTATCATCTCTGTGTTTGTGACATAACATCAGTGTCTTAGGCTTGGTTCTCACAGCTGCAACCCCATTGCGACTTGAAGTGACTTCCAATGTGACTTTGATATTTTGCGACTTTGGCCAATCATAACAGTACAGTGTGTGACACATATTATCGAACTTGCAAACCCCTCTAAAGTCGCAGCCAAAGTTACAAAGATAAGACAAAGAATTGACTTCCTTGTGAATTTTATCATTTTAAAATTGCCGTCTATGGCATTTATGTCGCATGGAAGACACAGAAAAGTGCAGGAACTATTTTTTTGTCGCTGCGACTTTAGTCTCAACAATTAAGATGGCACCCAATGAAATGAATGTGTGCTGACTTTTCATACAACTTTCTGTGTCACATGTCACTGTAAGTCACAGCAGTGTCAACCAGGGCCTATACAAATAATTTATAAAATATATAGATAAATGAATAAATCCACCGTTACTAGTTGCTATCTGTTGTGTGTGTATTTTCTGCACAATATTTAGAGATAAACATGTACTGCACCTGTTCGGTCATGATAAAAATAGTAATAATGCCACATTTATCTAGTAAAACAAAATAAATTTCTTTGATGGTTACCATATATACACACATTAAAAAAGAACACCAAAACCACAATGCTGAATATTTTTTATAAAACAATCTCTACTGTAAATGTAACATATCTGAAACTCTAAAATGTTACTTAGTTAGAAATCACATATACATACAGTATATACATATATGACACAGTTGTGGATATAAAAGCAAAAGACAGAAATAATTTTCTGATACAGTATACTGTAGCTATAGTAATTGATGCTAGGTAAATAAGTACTATGTAAAAAACGCATCTTGCTGACACATATATTGTAACACACCCCCTGCAGGCAGGTGGTGCAATGGCTGCATCATAGTGAGCATGAGTCAGCAAAGGAAGTACGCAGCAAGATTACACAAGCTGAGGTTTGTTTTTAAAGCAGCATCTTGTTTCCTGCTAATACAACCGAGGAAAAAAGAAATCCCAGATATAAACCTTCATCACAGAAAATATTACCCGGGTAATCGCGTATCTTGTTTCATTCTGTATGTGAGGGAAAGTATACTAGTGTGCCATGCATTTAACTATTTCTTTCCAATAAATGACTTATTTAAATTAGTTACATTAGTCGTTACGACTTAACTAGAATTCCCTTTAGAATGCTGGAAACCCTTATGACCAAGCAACCTCAACTAAACACTATTTAAAAATAATAGTACTCAATAGAGTAGTCATAACAAGACCTGATCTGAATAACTCATTTCAATGATTCGTATATGAAACTGACGATAAAGACTCACTACTGATAAATTGTATTCTGTTGGTTGTACGCACTTAGTTTGCTGTTCAGATTGAATACAAATGTTAGTGCAGTACAATTTTAATTAAATAGCACATTTATTTATATAAGTATTTAAAGCAGACATAAGGCAAAAGATGGACAGTGGGTTTTAGGGGCAGTTGGGAACTATGTCATTATCCTGATTCAAGCAGCCCTTTAGAGCCCACCTAACTACAAAGGCAGTCAGCTGAGTATGTGATCTGAGAGCCTGGATAACCAAATTCCTAATAATTAAACCTAATGTTACAAAGCAACAACCCATAAAAGAAAATCCAACAAAATAGGAAGGAGAAAAAACAATGATCGAAGTAAACAACAGCAAATAGATAACAGCTATATAAATCAAATCTGATAAAAAATAGCTATGTTAGGCTAGGAGTTCTTGATGTCATTGTCATTCTTGGAACTAAATAAGCTACATGATTTTAGAAAAATGGTAAGCATTATGTATCTCTGATCCACATCACCTTATAATACAATGCCAGTCAACACTCTCTCCTGGAGTCAAAGATTATGACAGGCACAAGACCCTGTCTGCAAAATTTCCATGGTCAGCAGAGCCACAGTCAAACTGATGGACACGGTTTATATACATACACATGAACTCTTACCTGTGAAAAGATTTGTCATTCTGCATTGCCATTCTTGTAATCCAGGTGCTCTGTAAGACAGAAAAGACAGATGCTGGATCTTTTTTGCAGGCTACACTGCATCTAAGCAATGCAAGCCTTGTCTAGGACTTGCCAAGATTGTGCCTGGAGATTAAAGAACCAAAAGCACATTTCCTTTTGGGATAAAGGTTTCTACAAAAAATAAGGCTGACCATTGTAAGCACCCCTGTCAGTGTTCAGAAATAACAGATTTATAAGCTGGATCACCAGATGAAAATAAAGGGGGGAAAAATAACATTACTGCAGCCACCACATATATGCAATGCAGTATATCGCATGTGACTCGCACTCCACTGCATTCCTGTGCAAATCACATGCGATTTGTGTGTGGTGCGATTGGAGCCATACATTTTATATGGCTCTAATCGCACTGCACCAAAAAGGTGCAGGACCCTTTTTTGGTACGCACTAGAATCGGATCGCATGGGTATTCACACCTATGCGATCCAATTCTGAACATTGCACCGCGTTTTGCGGACCGCTTTCGGGGTGTTGTTAACTTAACATACACACCCGCAGCGGTTCGCATGAATGGGGTGCGATTCTGATGCGGTGTGGAATTTGCACAGAAACCACTGCAAATTCTGCACTGCATCAGTGTGAACCAGGGCTAAAGGACTGGTAAGCTGCGATATATAACACTCTTTCTTTTGGGTTTACACTTTAAGCATGCTTAGACTTGCAATGTACTGACCCTTATTTCTCTAAATTAAATAGTGCTGTATGGAGGATTACAGGGGGATGCCAAGACATGTTCAGGTATTTATACCCACTGTATATAAAATACATTTAATTTATTTGAATACAGTATATAAATGGACTACCTCTTTTTCTTTTAATAATATCCACTAGAAAAATAAAAGATACTATCTGTTGGCATGGTATCTATTTTCTACATGCATTTGTAGGTATCTGCTTCCTTATCCACTTGCTCTCCAGAGGACTTACCCCCCTTCCTGACCAGGCCATTTTTGTGATACGGCACTGCGTTACTTTAACTGACAATTGCGCGGTCATGCAACACTGCACCCAAATTAAATTTACGTCCTTTTTTTTTCACAAATTCTTTCTTCTGGTGGTATTTGATCACCTGTGAGTATTTTATATTTTGCGCTATAAAAAAAAAAAAAGACTGACAATTTTGAGAAAAAAAGCTATATTTTTGACTTTTTGCTATTAAACATGTCCAGTAAAAAAAAATAAAAAAAAAAATTTGCCATTAATTTAGCCAAAAATTATTATGCTACATTTTTGCTAAAAAAAATCCCAGTACTTGTAAATTAATTGGTTTACGTGAAAGTTATACTGTTTACAAATGGTGTTATATATACAGGGATTTTTACTAGTAATGGCGGCGATCAGCAGGACTGCGGCGGGCATTCTGACATGGGGGGGGCTGTCTTGGTGTCACTGGCATCCCCAGTGACACCAATACAGTGATCAGTGCTAATAAAAAGCACTGACACTGTACTAATGGCACTGGGCAGGAAGGGGTTAACATGTGGGGAGATCAAAGGGTTAACTGTGTGCTGTTTTACAGTGTGCTGTGTGTGTGTGCTTCACTGTAAGCACACTGCTATTGAAAGACATGCATAGCAGTGTGCAGGAGCTGACAGGGGAAAGAACTGTATTGTTTACATATAGTTCTCTCAGTCGGTAATCCTGCTCGATCACTGGGTGCCAGCGAGTAATCAACGGCCGGGACCCAGTGATTGACAGCCGAGGCTGCGAGTAGCGGAAATGCAAAATCACATATACGCATCCCTTCTGCCCTGTAGCAGTATATCTGGTAGGTGTAAGCAAAATCACCAAAATAAAAAAAGCTTTAACATGTCAATATAATTTCAAAAGCCATTTTTTAACCTTTTGAAATATACAGCTTACATTAAAGCCATATCTGGTGATCCTGGCATGAAGATAGTACTTTTATTGACAATTCTTAATATAAAACAGATGAAAAAGGTGAAACAGTATTTTATTTTTAAAAAAAAGAATTGTTTATGATATAGAGTACTTTAGAAAATGTATTTTCATTTAAGATAGTGGTTAGGTCTGCTTTAAGACACTTCTGTGTATCCCTTACACTGCTGGTTATGAAAGAATAAATCAGATCACTTAATGCAAGTCCTGGAACTATGCATTTGTTTAAAAGCTATTTAAAAAAACCCTCTGGAACTCCTTATAGTCTAGATACAGGGATGTGCAATTCCTATCGCCTGACACCCAGGACATGCAGTCCCAGGCGCAAAGCAAAGTTTCTTTTTTACATTTAGCCCTAGTTGCAGTCCTTTTACATTTAGCTAGGGCAAGCAACCTGGATTAGAGCCCCTTTCATTTTTAAAAGCCCAAGACATTCCTATAAGCACTTCTGCCTAATAACCCTTCATATTTTCCAACCTGGGAAATTTTTTTTTTTCTATCAGGACAAGTAGATTGTCATGAGGGACAAGTAAATTGGGACCCCGATTTGGACAAGAGGTTTTTTTGTTTAAATTTCCTGAGATATCTACAGTATGTTTAAATAATGGATTGCCTAAAATGAGATCCAACATCATTTTATTTACTTACCAATCCTATTAAAATCACTTTTCATTTTATACACATAATACATTTAAATTGTCAAATAAAGCAGTAGTTCAGGATTTATAAGCTTACATATACAACTGCATACATTACAATGTTATACAACAGGGTCACTCACAGAAAAAATCTAGCCATGTAAGGGCTTGGTCACACTTGCGGTGTATTGCCTCATTGCCTGCTTTAACCCTTTGCATTAGCACTAGCATTGCATATGGTTGCAAGGTGCTTGCACATTGACTTGAAGATGGTAGCGGTTGAGGGGGGTAAAAGCGCACGGTTTTACCACCCCCCGTCCCCAAAGACTAGTGTAGTGTAAACAAGTACTAAAAGAGGAGGCACTATAGTTACCAGCCTATGTCTTGAAATGTCACCACTTCACTGCTTTCCAGCCATTGCAGGTATTCAACTTGATGCGTGGGTTGAATACATGCAGCAGCTAGAAAACAGTGGCGTCTTTAAGAAATGAGCCACCGAAAAGGTAACTACAGCACTTCATATTTTACAGGGCTTTTAGGCGAAGGAGGTTGAAAACCTGTGCTGCCAGAACCATTACATGTGGCAGGAAGGACCGAGTATTTACACACCCAGAATTTTGGAATACCTGCAGCAGCCGAAGAGCAGTGAAGTGGTGGTGGTGTTTTCAAGAAATTACTGTGTCCAGTATGAGGAGAAGGTATAGACACACCCAGAAGTATGGAAGAGCTGCAGTGGCCAGAGAGCAGTGAAATGGTGGCATTTCAGGAAACTGCCTTGTCCAGTAGTTGGATCAAGGTATTCCAGAATTGTGGAATACCCAAAGCGGTTGGAGACAATTCCATTACGAAAAACAACTTTGTCAAGAAAGGGAAGCATGTATATACACACTCAAAACTGTGGAATAACTGCAGTGCCTGAAGAGTATTGAAGTGGTGGAAAGGTAAGTATAGTGCATATTTCTTTTTTTACAAGGCTGGACTTTTCAATGTAAGTAACCCTTTGGTGACCATGTTACTTTAAGTAAAATCTTCGTTTTCCAAGTACATGTTCACATAAAAAAATCTAAAACATAGTTTCCTGGTTCAATATAATCAATGGATAAATAGGAACTAAAAACATCACATGAGGGCACCAAAGTATGTAAGAAGGAACCCTTAACCAAGGGATGTCAGTGACATCTCTGATCTGCAAATGTGTGTTCAGATTTTCAAACTATGAAATTCTGACAGTAAAGTAAATGTCAACTGAAGAAACCAATAGATAAACACAATAGGCTGCTTTTCTTCTATTGCAAGGCATGTTCTGTGAATGTAGGATCCATTATAACTAGGACTAATTTATACAATTTGGACTTTTCAATGGTACTGGCAACTAGGAGTGTTGCCAGTAGCAACTGGTCTAGTTTTAGCTTCAACTTACCATTCACTGGACTTAGCAACATACATATGTAACCCGATGAACCAATAGAAGTAACAACTTTTCTTTGCTTACATTTTTGTAAACTGTACATCCATGTATGTGCCATTATAAAGACAAGCTACAAGCCTTATAACCATTTAAAAGAAAAACAAAATAGATCTTTAACAGTATCCAGAAAGAATTACCTTTTAGATGTTAGCACAACAAAAAGTCACAATCAGGATTAGAAATGTCAATATAATGATTATATATATTCTCACATCCTTCTATAATTTTTCTTACTAAGAAAACTGATATTTTAGGCAGACAGTTATGTAAATGAAAAATACATCCTAAAGATACCAAGTCTTAAAGAGAAAAAAAAACCTCAGTTGAAAAGCAGACAGCATCATTTCATAGAACAATGTCTTCCAACAGAAATAAGTATTTCACCTGTCAGTTTCCCTGTCCACCAATAAGATGATAAGATGGTGCTGGATTCCCACCCCCCATCCAATCCTGTTTTGAGGTCGTCCTCTAAACAGAAGCATAGTAAAGTATATCATATGGAGGGCTGTAATATTGCGTGATTTGTTATGGTATAAAAGAAACACGCAGGTAAACAGGTTCTCAAGGCTGAGTAAATGAAATTTTGTTCATTAATGCTAAGCTGTTCTGTTCGTTTGCCTGCCTTCAGATTTGTATTAACCCATGTAATGCTGCATGAAAACATGAACAACTTCTAATACTGTGGAGCTTTCAATGTCCTGAACTTTTCAGTGACATGCCTATTTTAATGAAATTGTAACCCCAGTTGCCCACAGGCTTCTGGACCAAGTGATGCTCCATCATACTTAAAGAACTAAAGAAACAATAAACATCAATAAAATACCATATAACATTGGCCATTATAAGAATACCAAAGAACACAAATTAGCAGCAAAGTGTCACAAACAATTCTAGAAAGATATGATGAATTATAAACATCTTACGTGATTTGAGCTTCTCTGGTTCCTTGGACGAGAATAAAACTACGCAGCTTGGCTCTTAAACTGTCTCTATTATTGCAGAAAATATCCACGTAGTTCACTAATATATGTCCCATAGAAAAAAGTGAAGTTAAGTTTTTGGGGAAAGGATTTACCCTTATAACATCTGCTTTGTCACGGTAGAAGTGACGCAGTTTTCAATACCTCCGGGGTTCTAGTAACACGTCTGTAAAAGCAACCAGGCTGTCTAAATATTATATCGCTCACCCCCCAATTGCTGCTGCGTAGGTTTGGGTAACCGTGTGACCTCCATGTATGGGTGGAAGATTCCAGCATTCCAATTAACCCATTTGTAAACCCCAATCCCAATTCCAAATATTGACGATCTGTGCCCCCACTCCAAACACATCGCCATTTCACCTCTTCACCCTGTCGGATAAAAAATTCACGATTTTCCAGCTGATCACAGATAAAAGCATAGAAATTTGCAGATGAAGTATTGGTTTATGAAAAGATGCTATGGTTGTAGGAGAGCCCAGCCCACGATACTTCCATAGCTCGCTTTCCTGCTGTAGCAGCAGCAGTAGCTGATTTTCAGAGACCTGTCGACAGACAGTTTCTTCTCTCTCTCTCTATCTGTTCTGTGACGCAGCTAAAAATTCTCAGCTCTGCTCCCAGTGTCGCTTAATGGAACTGCATCTTGGGAGATCTGCTTTCATAACACTGCAAAGACAGAATGACGACGGTTCTAAAAAATTAAAGTCTAGATTAATTTTTGGTAGTTACGAAAGGTATACAAATCTGCATATTGACAGCAAAAAATACAAGCTACTGTATATTTGTTGTTTATAACTACAATTTAAATACAAATTGTCTTTTAATGCCATATGGATGTATTTAAAATATCATAACTTTACCTATTCATAAGAGACATAATGCTCTCCCCCCAAATGTGTGTTTGTAATGAATGAGAATGCATTTTTTATGTATTTCAAATGCATTCTCAGAAACGTCAACCCCAGGGAAAAGCTTACAAGGTGATGGTAGTCGCAAACAAATAACACCATGACAAAAAGCCTACTCAGTAGGTACATAAACAAGAATTGACAGAGGGCCTAACCCTTCCTCACACATCTAAAACTATTAAATAAATGTTAATAATAACTTTATATATAATGTCTTAAAGGTAACTTCTCAATGCGCTTTATAGAAGAAACATAAACATTGACAAATGAAAACAAAAAGAAAAAAAAAAAGGAATAGTTAGGAAAAAAATTGTCTCAAGAAGAAAGTTGTTCTGATTTGAAAAATTTTAAAGAAGGTGACACTGATGTTCTTGGGAAGAGAGCTTGATGCGTTTGCTGGAACGTATCTACTTTATCAGGAGCTATAAGCGAGATACAGTCAGGTCCATAAATATTGGGACATCGACACAATTCTAACATTTTTGGCTCTATACACCACCACAATGGATTTGAAATGAAATAAACAAGATGTGCTTTAACTGCAGACTGTGAGCTTTAATTTGAGGTATTTACATCCAAATCAGGTGAATGGTGTA